TAAATTAAAACCTGAAATATCACTGTGTGTGGTAACATAATTAGCAGGAAATCTAGCAAATTTTATTAATTGAACTTAACATTATTAGAACTGAAAACCCTGAAATTATTATTATTGACATAAACCTCAATGATAGAATCATATTTAGCCATGATTTTATTATTATAATTATTAAGCTGACCATTAATAATCTCTAAAGGCATCTTCATTATAGAAGAATGTTCCCCGGTGTGTTGACTATTAGATAAAAAATCTAACTATAGAAGAGTCAATATTCTCTTAAATGCTTTATTTGATATTATACACCAGTGAGTTTCATTCTGATAAAACACTAAATAGAAGAAAAAATTCCTTAATATTCTTCTTATACTAATTCTGGGATACTATAATTAATGATCAAATTTGTATATACACAATATATGATCAGTACCCTGTATCCCCCTCTTATACATTTCAAGGAATAGAACAATGTAGGTATCAAATATGTTATTTGGTGGCAAATGTAGCATTTATTACAAATGTTATTCTCAAAAGCTTTTCAGGACTAACCATAACTGTAATAGCTGGTAATTTTTGTCATAGTAACCCAATATCCTTCCCTCAAGTGGCCTTGTTTCTGGATATGTAATAACTTTTTTTATTTTATTATATTTTATTTTTATTTCTTCTTCATTTTGAATTAGCGTTCTCCATACACCGTTTCTGTTATATAGATTGTTCATATGTGAGGGGAAGTTTTTCTTGATTTCAACGTTTCCCATACCTTTAATGTTGTAGTCTAAGATTTTCTCATTTATTCGACAAATGATCAAACAATGTGTTCACACACACTCACACACCCATGTATATATTGTGTATGTACGTATCACACTTATACGTACATATATATGTATATATATATCATATATACACAGACCCACACATACATATTGTGTGTCTGTACGTATCACACACACACACACATTCGAATACCTGAATGCAAACAACCATTACAATTCTACATATTGAACTTATTGTATGAACTCATTTGAACCCACCGAAGTGGGCTATAGAAAAAATTGAGTAAGACTCATTGAGTTGTTCCCCTCCACGGAAATCTTTAGTAAAAGGCGAAAGATTTATGCGTTTTGAAGGGAAACCAGAGTTGGGTAGAACTGGTAAACGAATTGACCAACAAAAGTAGACTGAGGACTTCGAGCAATGAGTATAAAGGGAAGAAAGGCTCGTCTTGAAATTATTATTATTATTATTATTTTTTAATCTTTTAAGGAATAGCACGCTTAAAAAACAGATGGAATACAACAGGTTCTATGAAGAAATATGCATTAATGGGACATATAGTTTAGTCCCTGATTCCCCGTTCTTGATAAATACAATTGTCTTCCATTTTCCTTTTATATATTTTGATTTATATAATTGATCAAATAGGTGGAGACTAAATATTTCAGAATGGGCAAACTACGCCCACATATTACTGCATACATTTACCAACCTATGAATATGTGATACTTCGTTTTATTAGAACAAAGTCCTCATTAAGATGGAGTGTACAAGTGAATTTAGAATGTGAAAGTATGATCATACTTTATAGGATCACTTCTATAGTGCGATTGCCGGGTTTCTCGCCAAGATTCTCGGAATATGTTCAACCACGATGAGGACTGTTAGTGTAATCCTCTGAGCGGGAAGCGGCTCTCAAGTTGTGCTTGAGAGTTTTGATGACCGTTCTTACTCGTTTACCGATGTTAGGAGGAGGATTGCACAGGCTGAGTGGTTGAATATCAGTCGACATGAAGTATTCTTGAACTTTTGAAAAACCTTATAAGGAGAAAAAAATATATATTTATAAAGATAAAGATTATAAACATATTAAGATATTAGCTGCCTGGTGAGTTATAGTTTCCAAAACCAAAACTGAAGTATCAATACTTGTTTATTAATGTAATATTTTCATGATTTCAAATGTTTGAACCAGATTTGAAATATACTCATTTTCAAATGTAGATACTCCGTGGCTTTTACATATAATTATTATTGTTTTGTCTACTATTAATGCCATTTTCTTCGTATTGCCACTGCTTCTACTATGAATGTAATTATTCCTGTTTCCATTGGCAGTAACCTCCTATAATTCTACTACCTTATTTTACTCTGTGAGTATGTGATTTGGTAACAAGTAACGCTGAAGTCTATGAATGAATGTTTAATTATGGACACGAATCGTGATTGTGTAATAACGTATGCCATTATGATAGGGTTTTGATATATGTAAATAGAAAAACATACATCTATGAACCCATGTGAAATACTCAATGTTCAGCTTAACTCGTTGGTCATCGTACAACTTAGAATACCATGCTAAGCATTTGTGGTTGTAGTATCGTGTGGTCTAGTGGTTTGACTCTCTGGGTTGTGGTTGTAGTATCGCTAGTGATGTGTGAAGAGTATGTTCTGGACTGTCAAGGAGGGTATTGACATTTCCATATGAAATCCGTTAATGAATTTCCCCATCTTCATACACTTCAAAGTTTTGTGGAGGCTGAGATGTTACATGAATTAGGAATGCGTGTTAGTCCCTTACTTCACAGTGAAGATGCTTATAAATTAAAATGAGTTGATATCCTCCCCGGAGGGAGTGGACCAATCCCGGAGGTACTGCAATACCGGGCCGATCCGCGGCAAAGGTGGAGCAAGCCCCTAGCACTTCGCCATTTTCCAAAAATCAGTTTAATATCGTAGATCCCACATGGGGATCGTATCAGATATTAAGCTGATAAGAACAGATACTACACTTTGATCTTAGCCAAAAGGCCGAGAAGCGATACTGAAAGCTGGTTGAAATTGTGCCTGAGAAAATGTTTCTGAGGACTTGCCAGTGAAAGTGTTTACGTGTAGAAGGGCGTATGTTTACATGTAGTAATCAAGTTGACGTAATGAGTTATTTAAATCTTGGTTTGCAGTTATTATTTGTATCCATATGATGATTCTAAGAAACTGTTGCTGGTATTTTTAAATATGATAAGCTCATCGGACATCAAAGAAAGTACAGGAAAATACTTCTACCTTCAGAACCAATTGTCACAACCTCTTTAACACATCCCACACAAACACCCACACTCATACAGGCATACACTTGTCTGCACATAAGCATATACACGTGCGTAAACATATGCACACATGATATGTATGTATAAAAAATTCATATGTACTTATTTGTATAATAGTAAACGACCACAGTGTTTACGCAAGTATACCCAGAAAAGAACCTACACGTTTTCTTTGGGCATTAACATTTTAAAACGCCATATATATATATATATATATATATATATATATATATATATATATATATATATATATATATATATATATATATATATATATATATATATATATATATATATATATATATATATATATATATATATGGATCACATGTTCCTTGTGATATAGTCGAGGCTCTGAATGATTTATAGATAAGTTTGTACTTAAGAACATGCGAATACTACATGTACCCATACATTAAAACCACCTCAATATTACATTTATGCAACTATGTTCTTACATGTTTATCTATCTATATATATGGATGTACTGATAGATAGGATAAACGGTGTATGTTAGTGTATGCATGCATAAGTGTATTCTTACGAACATTGTGATGAATTGCCACGAAGTTAAAAGTCATAGAACCGGAAAAATCTTATTAACTCTAGAATTTGTTACGGGTAGTTCACATTGAATAAATTGTAAATGACCTTCTTTGTTTGTGTGTAGCTTTGAAATATAATGATGAGTGTCATTACTTAGGAGTTTTTAAGGAAAATTCAAGGCCGACCTGATATTTGTATAAAGTGTTGTAGCGCGCGTGGTGTTCTCAGTGCGAGCGAGCGTGGGTCGGCGCCTAGCGAAGGAAAGCATACTTACCTGGCACAGGAGATACCGTGATCACGAAGGCGGTTCTCCCAGGGCGAGGCTCACCATTGCACTCCGGTGGCGCTGACCCCTGCGATTAACCCAAATGTGGTTAACTCGAGTGCGCAATTTTTGGTAGCGGGGGACTGCGTTCGCGCTATCCCCCTTATAACATTTCAGTTTTACAGCAAAGTATTCTAGATCCACATGTCTAGCTTTAATGATTTATTTAATGAACTCAACCAACTAAGAAAAAAAATGCTGTGATAACACAGATGAATTATTCTAATACGATAATCGAATAATAAGGCAGACCTGGTATTACCATCCAAAATATTTTATCTTTCATTCAAATTATATACTATTATTGGTCATTTTTAGGTACTTTAAAGGTAATCCCATAATTGCTATTTCACAACAAATTCGAACAGGAGTGCAAAACTTTTATGTATATATTGATAAGTAGGTAGATAAATTGTTTCATCCCATAAACTGTATCTCAATCGACCATTTAATGGGAAATATTAAACAATTGTAACCGGAAGATATGTGGAAGCGAGAAAAATGTTAAACCATGTAACCATGTATATATATATTTCCCAGGAGTAAAACTTTCCTCCTAGTAGAAAACGACCTTATGACTTATAATTCTTGGAAACAACATAATACAAAGATCTGTGTTAGAGGGACGTCAGGTGAGGGTAAGGCAAATGGCTGTCTTGTTACCTTGGTTTTATTCGAGGAAATAAAGATGGGCCGAAGCACATATCCATCCATGAATGTGGCCCGAGGCTGATTGCCTACCGGCTCCCTTTCCTTGGGGAGCGTGGGAATCATGCTCCACTGCCGCTGTTAGCGGTTTGCTATTACAAGTCAAACAATCTGGAATATGATATTAGCTCCAACTACAGACAATCAACATTACAAGTACTTAATCTTTATTCAAGTCATCAATATTACCACCAGTATCTTTAATCTTATCAAAAAAAGAAAATAACGGTGATAACGATAAAAATACTTGTAATAATCATTACCATTGCGACATATAAACTAATAATACTGGTAACTCAACAAAAACATCAAAAGAATAGCAGCAAAAAAGTTGAAAGCACTCAAGATGTGATTCAATGATCAGCATTTCTATATATGATTAGCTATATCATTTAGCTTTTCCTACTTACAGTAACGGTAACGTGAAAAAGATACAGTTGCATATGCACAGATTTATAACCATATACTATAATATTTTGCTATTTTTTTCTTTACTTGTACAACCTGCATTCTTTAAAGAGTTGCACAGCTCTAAATTTGTAGAAGGCATACGGCAAGTGCATTATATTGTTGACAATTGGGTTGGAATTACCTATACGCCGATAATAGTTGATTGTTATTGAGACTTACATTGAGGAGCAGATTCAGTGATGCCAGTTCTCAGGGTAATGGTGTTAGATATAATAACAAAAAATGCATTGCATTGTGTGAATACTATATCACTTGCAGAAAGTTGGGTAATGTTAACATTAGCTCTGTCAACGATCATACCACGTTGAAAGCACCGCTTCTCGTCCGATCAGCGAAGTTAAGCAACGTTGGGTCTGGTCAGTACTTGGATGGGTGACCGCCTGGGAACACCAGATGTCGTTGGCATTTTACTTTATAAGCTACATAGGTTAAGCATTTCTTGACAATCTATGGCAGTTTCTCTTATATTCTTTTAAGGAAATGAATTGAAATCATGCGTCAGTCCATAGGAAATAGAGTAAAAATAACGACGCCGTTAGGAGAAGGGAGAAGGATAGACAGAAAACGGATGATGATAAGAGTGACTCAAGTAAAGGCAATTCTGCTTCCCAAACCTTAAATTCAATTCCTTTTGTCACGGTATTTTGGGGGGCGATCTTTAAGAAAGGTCGTTCTATGCTGTAATGATGATAGCTATGATCATTGTAGTAGTAATGACAATCACATTAGGAAGGATACCTATAGAAGAAGAAGAAACCGAATGTAATTAATTAAGATGTCAGTCTAAGAAATTACTCACAATGAAGTCTTCGCAAAATAAAAAGAAGAAAAATTGACAGCAGTTTTGAAGGTCTGCTTTTGTACCATTCCTTGTAGAGTTCCAGAGTCGGAAAACTGGAAGAAAGGATTCTAGTAACCACAAAAGAGAACTACTTCCCTTACTGATCGGTTGTTATTGATGTTAAGATTGTGGAGCAGATCTCAGTGATATGACTAGAGGACCGTGGTAATGCAGTTTGGTGCAAAAGACAAGAAGATTACATTCAAGGAAAATGTATGAAAAATCTGCCATCGCTGCCACAAAGTCGGGTAAAATTCAGCTGGAATATGTCAACGATCATACCACGTTGAAAGCACCGCTTCTCGTCCGATCAGCGAAGTTAAGCAGCGTTGGGTCTGGTCAGTACTTGGATGGGTGACCGCCTGGGAACACCAGATGTCGTTGGCATTTTACTTTATAAGTTACATAAGTTAAACATTTCTTTAAAATCTATGGCAATTCCTTATATTCGTTTAAGGAAATGAATTGAAATCATACATCAATCAATAGGAAATAGAGTAAAAGTAACGCCGTTGGGAGAAGGGAGGATAGACAGAAAACGAATTTGATAAGAGTAACTAAAGTAGATGCAATTCTGCTTCCAAACATTTAATTCAATTCTTTTTGCTCCAGTATATATATTGGGGGGGGGGAATCTTCAAGAAAGGTCATTATATGCTATAATGATAGTTATGCTAATTGTAGTAGTAATAACAATCATTACTAATGATGCCTATAGAAGAAGAATAAAATGAATGTAATTTAGAATCAATCTAAGAAATTACTCACAATTGTCTTATCAAAATTTGACAGTAGTTTTGAAGATCTACTTTTGTACCATTCCTTGTAGAGTAACCCCAAAAGAGAGATACTTCTCGTAGACATACATTCAACGAAAATGTATGAAAAAATCTGAGATCTGCCACAAAGCTGGGGGGGGGGGGGGCAGCTGAAATATGTCAACGATCATACCACGTTGAAAACACCGCTTCTCGTCCGATCAGCGAAGTTAAGCAACGTTGGGTCTGGTCAGTACCTGGATGGGTGACCGCCTGGGAACACCAGATGTCGTTGGCATTTTGTTACATTTACAGTTTGATGCTGTTAATTTTATTGTAGTCCTGGTGATATTATTTTTACTCACACCAAGTAAAAGAAATGCATGCTTACATAGATCTATAAGCTTATTGATTTACATATATATATATATATATATATATATATATATATATATATATTATTGATTTACACGATTTTCTTTATTACTTATTCAGCCTATATTGTTAAGAGTTGCACAGATCGAAAATGTATAGAATTCATTGTGCAGCTGTATGAAAGTGGTGATAACTAAGTGTAATCTTACTGATATGACTGGAATATCATCGTTATGAAGTTTAAAATAGAAAGACAAAATATAAATGTTTGAAATGTGTGAGCACTGCATAAATTTGGGTTGTTGAAGGTATATATGTCAACGATCACTCCACGTTGAAAGCGCCGCTTCTCGTCCGGTCAACGAAGTTAAGCAACGTAGGTTCTGGTGAGTACTTGGATGGGTAACCGCCTGGGAACACCAGATATCGTTGGCATTTCTTTTATATGCTAAATGTATTAAGCATTTATTTATAATTTCTATGTCAAGAAACCAATTGAATTTATACTTGAATCAATAAGTAATAGCTGGATGTATGTATATGTATGCATATATATATATATATATATATATATATATATATATATATATATATATATATGTATATATATATATACATATATATATATAATATATATATATATATATATATATATATATATATATACATGTATATATGCAC